TTTGCCACTGCTTTTTACCTAATTCTTGTCATCTTTTTTCTCTTCCTCGTTCTAAATTTTTCCATTTTCCCAATGTTAAATGCCAAACATGTGCTCTAGTCTCCTCTTCACAGGTCCTATCAACTCTAAAATGGTCTCAGGGTCCTATTGGTTTGGACCAGGCAAAGTTAGTTTACTGAAAAACTTGCCCTTCTGAAGTAATAGCTAAAGACTAAAAAGGTCACATCTACAAATCAGTCTTATAAACTTCTCTAAAAGCTAATCACTGGGCCAAATTTCAAAGATGACAAAACCCAAAGGCCATTGCTGCTACTCCCTTTCTTCTCTCATTCTTTCAAGGATGAAAAGAGGTCAGTAATCATTCTGATAAGCCCTTGGGAAAATGGCTAATTGCCACATCTTCCTTCTTAATGTGTTTAAGAGGGAAAAACCTTTACTGCCCTAGCTCCCACTTTTCAACAAGGTTTTTTTTTAAAAGGGGAGGAATTTGTTAAGTCTTAAAGGTGGCTTCATGTTGTGCTTCATTTCTCAGGAAGCTCAAATATTTATTAACAGCCCATCCCTGCTTTTTTTTTTTTCAGTAGTCAGACCATCAATTTAGTTAAGAGCAGGTAATATCACAAGGTTTAAGAAAGAAAGAAAGAGAGAGGGAGAGAGAGAGAGAGAAAGAAAGGGAGGGAAGGAGAGAGGGAGGGAGGGAGGGAGAGACAGAGAGAGAGAAGAAGGAAGGATGGAAGGAAAGAAAAAAGAAAGAAAGAAAGGCTATTTAATCCCTTCTTAGTCTCTTAATAGAGCCTTGTGTGGAGCCTTACTGGAATCCTGGAGACTAACACGCTGGAGACCAAAAAAACTAGCAATTTTGTCAACAACTAAAGAACAACTTCATTTTAAAACGAAATGTTTGAAAACTATGTCTTCCTTAGCTGCCAAGACTGAGTTTGGTTTCTGGATTTATTTCCCTTGTAAGGACACCTGACCTCACTTTTCTGAAAACTTTTTATAATGTTGCCTGTACTGTACCAAATATTTTGGATGCTATCTACCAACCCTCTACAGTTAAATGCAGTATTTCAAACACTGAAAATTTGAAAATGTAGACAGGGAAGGCGTTTCCCTCCCCCAATTTGTAACTTGTATGTATTCTGATAATGATTTTAAATAGATCTGACTTGTAAACTAACCCTTCATAGTTAACTTTTAAAGTGATGGGCTACAACTGTATCACTGTGCATTGGTATCAAGCTGTTCTGCAAATGTTGGAATGGTACAAAATATTTACAAAAAATAAATGTTGGGGTGAGGCTAGCTGTTTTCCTTTCAAAGCAGGTTCAAAAGATCCTTTGAAAATACACTTTTCTCACCTATAGCTTCACTTTTACCAAATGTAAAATTATTTTGCTCAAATGATATTAGGGGAAGATAGTTGATTGCTACCCTTAGCTGATTTGCTTCACTCCTGTTGCAAAAAAAATAGATTTACTGCATGGTTCGGCCTAGCAAAATAGAGAAGTGTGTAGACAAAAAGCTTTTTACCAATTTGGTAAGTTAACTAATTTCTTTGAGAATTTTTTACAATTATTAATAATTGGAAATGGTCCAAAAATTCATACATGTATAAAATTGTTTTGTAGATAGGTAAAGCTATGTATTGATGTTGTGCAGAGTAGTGGTTTTCAAACTTTCTTGTGCAGTGGAATCCTAGAGGACTTGTTAAAACTGCTTGCTGGGCTCCATCCCAGAGTTTCTGATTCAGCTGGTATCAGGTGGGGCCTGAGAATTTTTATTTCTAGGAAATCCCCAGGTGATATTGCTGCTGCCAGTTTAGGGACCATCGTTTGAGAACCACTGATGTTGAGCAACTGAAAACCAGCTTAAGTGTCTTTTTTCCATATCTTATCTGGTCATGTTTCACATTTGTTTCCCAGGCTATGTCACTCTCAGAGTGTGAATCACAGCAAAGATTTTCCAGCTCCATCTCCTACTCTCTCTGTCCAAAATTCAATGACCTTCAGATTCTCCCCTTCAGGGGCCCTCTTTCCTGAGGCTGAAGAGTAAATGCCTCAGGCTTCAAGAGAGCAGTTTCCCAAACTGTGCTCACCTGCGATCCTGTGTCCCTCAGTATTTTCATATATGTCCTGTGATTAAAGCTATGTAACATTTTGGGATACACTGGTTTAACTGGAAAGAAAGTTACTTTTAATCTCGGAACTTCTCAGAGCTTTTAATATGTAAATGTGCATTGTGAATTTCCAAAAGAGATCAAGTAGTTGGATTGATCTTGAGATCCTTCTCAACCCTTTCCCCCCACCAAGTTCTACAGAGTATCTATTAAGCACAGTTTGGGAAATGCTCTAAGTAATTTTATAATTTAACTTTATTTTACCAGGTTAAAAAAAGTCTATATTACAACCTAGGAAAAAGTCCAACATGCCAAAAATATGATGTGTGAATTTTAAATCAATTTTAAAAAGGAATTACATAAATGCACTCACCCATTATTTTGACTGAATGTGACTTTTCTTTTTTGCAATAAGAACAGATAAAAAGAGATCTACCCTCTTAAATTCTTCAGGTTTCAGTATAGTATCGTTAACTATAGGCACAATGTTGTACAGCAGATCTCTAGAACTTTTTCATCTTGTATAATTGAAACCTTATACCCATTGAAGAGCAACTCCCCATTTCCCCCACCCTCTAGCCTCTGGCAATCCTCCTTCTACTTTCTGCTTCTGAATTTGACTATTTGTCATACTTCATATAAATGGAATCATGAATATTTGTCCTTCTGTGATTGGCTAATTTCACTTAGTGTAACGTTCTCCTGATACATCCATGTGGTAGCATCATTTCCTTCTTTTTTAATGGCTGAATAATATTCAGCCATTAAAATAATAATTGTGGTATGTAAATACCACAATTTCTTTTTTCATGTGATCTTTTCTTGATTGAATCATTTACCAAGTTGATACAAAGAAAGAACCCTTTCAGCCTCTGCTGATAATCAAGCCTTTCCTGACCTCACCACCTATCCTGTCCCTCCCCTCAATTTCTTTTCCATTACTGTTTCATTTTCTTCATTAGATTTCTCATGATTATGAGTTATCTTATGAATTCCTTAAGTGAGTTACATGCTTATTGCTTGTTTCTACCACTAGCAAACAGTTCCAGGAGTGCTATACCTTGTCAGTCTTGTCCAATTCTGTATCTTCAGTGCCTAGAATGATGCTTGGCACATCAGGAGCACTCAGTAAATATTTTTTTGATGGAAAGAATGAATAGATCGATACAATCATCATCTAAGTTCTAATTATGAAGTCTTTATTATTGTAATAAAAGATGTAGGAAGAGGAAAAGGTGCTCTTTAGCAGCTTTAGATGAGGCAATTAGAACAATCTTTTGATTTCCAATGGAGTATTTCCAATATAATGATAGAAGGGGGAATTATTAATGTGAAACTCAGGATGCTATTTTGTAAACTCACTTGTATTATGATTTTTAACATTTACTAAGGGTCCAAAAAACGACATACAATTATCTTTTAAAATAAGACAAGTATGTGAAAAATACTTGGCATATAAGTAGCTCTTATAAAAATATCCACTTTTCTGTCCTTCCAACTTTAAAAGATCTCTGAATGATGCTACTTCTTGCCATATTACAAAGTGCTTTGAATTGGACAAATCTAAAAAGCATCAATTACAGTGTTTTTTGTTTTTTATTTTAAAGGAGAGCTTGTTATATATTTGTGTTCTTGTATGATAAGCAAGTGTTACATATGTGTAGAGCATAAATATTCCTAACTTATGGATTCTGGTAATTTTAGAGGTATGGGAGAAGTCTGATTGATTGTATGATTGTTGAATATTACAGTAGATACATTCAATTTTGTGCAAGAAAATAAGAGAAGTCATCAGGTATTATTTATAGGAGGAAAGGATTCACCCAGGAATCCAAGAAGATAATTGTCAGAAGTCCTTAGGACATAATGTGATTTGAAATTACATAAAAAATTTATTGTCTATTTCCAGGTATTACAATGGAACAATATATCTCACTTCACCAGGCCTTTTACGTGGTTTTAATTTTTTTTTTTTTTTCTTGTTTAGGTTGTCTTCATCCGGTCTCCATTCTCTTTTTTTCTGGTCCTCGCATTATCTCCCTCTAGGGGTTTATGTTTGTGTTTACTTTATGCTTCTATCCTTTTTAGTGGAAAAAAGTGGGTCAGTATTACTTCAGTTTGTCTTCACTTTCACTCCACTGTTCATTCCTGAACTAGCCTTTAGCCTCTGGGATAGAAGAAAGTAAAAACATTGACAGAAACTGGGCCAACCTCTCGGGCGGGCCCCCTCCTCCAAGAAAACAAAACCTAACCAACTCTGCAACAGAAGTTCCTTTCTGATCTCATAGCACCTTCTATTTCCCTTCACATAAAGCTCAGATTTTTATTACAATTGCTTATGGAGTATTTTTCATCCCAGGGAGACTCTCCGTCCTCTGAGGACTTAGTATATTGTCAAGAACATAATATAAAGAAGTTTGTAGTTTAAATGAATAAATGCTGCCTGTGTGAGTGAATACTGCCCTGGTACCCACCCAGCCACCCACAATAAAGGAGAAAACTTGCAGCAATCAAGCTCAGGTGTGGGCCCTTTGACATCAACTTTCTAGAGAACCAGTAGAGAGCTGCGGCAATGGTATCTAAATTACATAATTACTTGGATAATTTAAGCAACAGTTTTTGTTTTGTCGGGGGGTGGAAGATGAAGGGGCTGAACTATTCAGATAATTTCTTCCCCAGTCGCCGTAGACAGGCACTGCCTAACCTTCTCACCCTTGCGGGGGTCTCTTCACCTCTCCCACCGCCCTCCAGCCACTCCAGAAGCCGGGCACGGGAGACTAAGGCCCTACATCTCGGGGTGGGGGTTTCCCGGGGATACCCCGCCCCGCCCTCTAGGCCCCGCCCCTTCCCCGCCCCCGTCGCCGCCGCCGGCAGGGGTCGCGCTGCCTGCGGCGAGCTGCTCAAGAGGGGGTGGGGGAAGCTGCCGCAGCCGGTCGCCTTTCTCCGCCGCCGCTGGTTGGATCATTTCAATAAAAGTGTTTTTTCTCTCTCGCTCGCTCTCCCCGGGGGAACAGGCGGAGGCGTCAGTCCGCAGCCGCCGAGTGAAAAAGCGACGCATACGCAGCGAGCGTCTCCTCAGCTTCGCACGGCCCGGTCCCAGAGAAGAAGGAGCCCGTGTCCGGCCGGGCCGCCGCAACCGGGCGTCGGCGCCTCACTCCCGCTGCGGCTCCTCCAAGGGGATTAGTGGGCCGCCTGCGCGGCTCGGCAGCCCGGGAGCCATGTTGTCCGGGGGGCTTGACAACGCGTGAGGGACCGGCGGCCCTTCCCGGAGGCTCGGACCCTCGGCGTGAGCTGGAAGGCTGCTGCGGCGGCGGAGGCCTGCGCCTCGGAGGCGCCTCGGGTCTGCCAGTCGCTGGGACCCGGACCTGCATCCGGTCGCCGCGGGCGTCGGAGGAGCCGCTTTCCTTGTGTGCCTCGCCTCGCCAGCTCTCGGGACGCGGTCTCCGCACTTGCTGGTGAGTTGGCGGCTGGCGGCCGCTCGGGGCTTTCCCTGCTGCCCCGCCGACCCTGGGCTGAGAGCGGCCGGAGGGTGCTTGGGACTGGGGGCCGGGGCGGACGGCTCAGGCCCGGCCGGGAGGTTGAGGAGGACGGCGCGGCGCAGGGGCTTGCTTGTGTTTGTCGCCCCTCGGGTCCACTTCGGACCCCGGTCGCCCGGGCATTTCCGGGCGTGGGGTGGGGTGTGAGTGTCTGACGCTTGGGCTCCTTCGCGAGAGGTGCCTCCAGCCGCCGCCGCCTCCGCGCTTGCTGCCGCTTTGGTCTCCGGGGGAGGCCGGTCTCCCCGCGAGGCCGAGGAGGGGAGGAGGCAGAAAGTCCCCCGAGACACAAAGGTCCCCTCGGCGGGGGTGGAGCTGCGAGGGCGGGCTGCGCAACTCCGAGGGGAAGGAAGGGGCGCAGGTCCGCGAGAGGTGGGAGAGGAAGCGGCGGTGGCCACCGCGTTTCCAGCTCCTTGGAGACGCCGGGGGTGTGCGTGGGTGGGGAGCGGGAGGAGGAGGGGCCCTCGCGTGAGGAGCCGGCCGAGACAAAGATCAGGGCAGCCTCCCGCTGGCGAGTCACACCCCTGAGTGTGGGTCAGAGCAGAGGTGGAGGGAATGTGGGAAACCCAAAGAACCGATGGGGAGGGGCACATGGGGCGGGGGGGGGGCTGCCAAGTATTGTCGTCTCCGTCACAGTGGCTTTTCTCAGCGTTTTTGTGCCCGATGGTTTTGCTCCGCAATTCAGCTGGATAGCTCCAGATTCGCTCCCTCCCATCACCCCCTCCCTGCCATACTGACTCTCCTGTGGTTTTCCCCTCGTTCTCCCCGTACCTCTCACCGCTCCTTTTTGGGTAAGCAGTATTTTGCCTTCAGCTTGGGGAACGTTTGCTAATGACAGGATGTCTGAGCTTGTTCTGACCCTGAACTGCCTTGAACTCCTCTCTCTTCCTCCCACCCTTTCCTTTCTGGGATCTTATAATGTCACATGGCCATTAACAATTAGCTTTTCTTCTGCAAAAATGGCAAAAGCACTTAGCTGAAATCCCTGGCGCTCCTTCTTTATATTAATGTGTCCACCAGAGACACGTCGTTGGTCATGGATTATCAGCTCTTATTAACCAAACTAACTTTTTAGATAAAAAAGTGGCAAATTTTGTTTTGAGTTTTGACTATTCCTAGGGTCAGCAAAGTGTATCCCTGGCAGCCGCTAGACCTCCTGTCACTTATCAGGAAATGCTTGACTTAGACAATTCTTTCCTCCAACTTTGCTGATTCTTTCTCGAGGCTTTGTTGAAGGATTTCTTTTAAAAGGCGCTTGCGTATAGAGTAACAAATCTGAGTTACTGTATTTTAGACTTATTTTTTTGACTATTGGACAGAAGAAAATGAATGGGATTTAAGATCTTTGATGCCTTGAGTAAAGGAAAGCCTTCCTTGAAGGTAGAAATAAGGTTCAGCCACATTTTAAGAAAAAAATTTGCTAGCATTAATATTGATTTTGTTCAGTTCTTTTATGAGATTAAGTAGTTGGTTTATTTAATGTTGAGATGTTGCTTTGTTGATGAAGTCATTTCAGTCTTTGTAATCCTAGCACCTGCATACTTCCATAAACAACGGGTTGGAACAAAAGAAAAAAATGTGGCTATATTTAAGGAATATTCTTTTTTTTTTTTATGAGCGAGATTGTTGGAATTAAAAGTGATAACCTATTTGGTAAGTTATCTCATAGGTCAGGAGCACTAAAAGTTTGAGTGCTGGGCTTCAAAGAAAATAACTTAGTCATTGAATTTAAGCTGTTTTAAAATTACTGTGCAAATATAATTTATTATTGATTTTTTAACAGCGAAAATAACATATTGGAATATGAATGGAAAGAAAAGTAAAGCCTGTTTGATGTTTGGGACATTACTGTTGATGTCATTGTAAGAACAGTCATGTCTTGCTGCTTATTGCCATTAAAATGTTGACACTATAAAAATTGTGAAAGGGATTTCAGTTTAGGGACCAGTCTCTGAATTGAGGGACTCCCTCAATTCTTTGTGAAATTAACAGGTCATACCATAAATAATCGATGTTTTATTTATTTATCGAAAGGTCATATTGAGGATACGCTGATTTTTTTCCCACTACATATTAATTAGTGTCTAATTAGATAGCTCAAGTTTTATTCTCACTAGAAGGAAATCTACCAAAAAGTTAACAAAGATTTCTGGGTGGTGAGACTTATGGATGAATAAAAATACATTTCTTTATTTTTCAAATTTTCACATTACTTTTACAATCAGTAAAAAGAGTGTGTGAAGAATTAAAGTCTTGTTTAAAAGAAAAAAAAGAATTAAAGTCTTGTTAATATCCTAATTTGCCTGTTACTTAAAGAAGCTTTTATAAAATGTGTAATTTATTCTCATCCTCGGATTCAGGCCCATTAAAGTCACTTTTAGTGTGAGGTATTTGAAATAGTGCAGCTTGTGAAATGTACTCTGGTTACCTGAAGGAAAAAAGAGATACATAGTAAGGAAAGATGAAATTAGAATAATTAATTCTAATTAATTAATTAATTCAATGTATGGTAGCGATCCAGTGTGGTAGCTTTGTACACCAGCAATCTTGTTCTAATAAGTCATTGGTTTTACTAAAATAGAAAAATTAAATTTTATCTTTTCTGTAGTACAAAATAGCTGTGTTGAATAAGATTTTAAAGTATATAAATGTTGATATATTTAGTTTTCAGTTACTTGTTTAGTCCTACAATTATGGTGGAAAGAGATGGCATATAAAATAATTTACTCTATCAAGGCTTTTGTTTTTTCCCTTATTTTCAGTAATGTTTTTCTCCTTTTCCTTTATTGGTGAAATAGTACTAACTAAAAAACTGCAAATATTTTATTGTGAACAATGGAACTATAGTGGCTTCTGAGATGGATATTCAAAAGTGAAAATGATGATCCTTAATATAAAAAAATTTTCTGTGAACACAAAATTTTTGCGGTGGTATTTTCTTTGTTATTGTCTAATAATACTGAATATAGGGCATTACATTTTGAATCTTTATTACTGTTCTCTAGTCTTAATAAAAATAATAACATCATGTCATGGCATTCATTTATATAGATTTTATACTTCCATGATGTGTAATTACAATGAATGTATTGCTGTATTGTAGAAAAGAGACATATGTTAAATAGAGTATTTTATCTATTTCAAAAGTTGCCCCCTTTCATACATGTGAAGGAAAAATAGTTTTGAGTTCTTTGAATTTTGAATGTGTAATTTTTGCTTAAACTTTTAAATAGAAAAATTATTTTAAATGCATTTTGTAAACTGTGGGATTTTGCATTTGAAATGATGAAGATAAACAGTAGGTTTATGGCATTTTTATATGTACTTCATATAGTATTTGTCAGGTAAAAAACTGCCTACAATAGAAAACCTGGTATAACTTGTGTTCAGCCTACAGTGTTGGCAATTTCTTTGACTGGTGATGAGAGGACCTATTAGACTGACTTTTTAAAAAAATGTCTATGAGCCAAAAAGTCTTACTGTCACCAGTGAATTCTTTGTCATTATTTTGCTCCCAGGCTTTTTTTTTTTTTTCAACTTTTTATTTTGTATTGGAGTATAGCCAATTAACAATGTTGTGATAGTTTCAGGTGCACAGCAAAGGGACTCAGCCATATATATACATGTATCCATTCTCCCCCAGACTCCGCTCCCATCCTGGCTGCCACATAATATTAAGCAGAGTTCCCTGTGCTATACAGTAGGTCTTTCTTGGTTATCCTTTTTAAATATAGCAGTGTGTACATGTCAATCCTAGACTCCCTAACTGTCCCTTCCCGTTGTCAGCTACTTTGATATCTGCAAAATATTTGACCTGAAAACAGGAATTGCCAAGGACCAGAAAAATGTATTGAATGTATTTGAGTGTCGCTTACCTTTCCTAGCCTGTTTTCCTCTCTCTTTTGGCCAGCTTGGAAAATCAGTAGACGTCTATGCGTAAATCTAACAGGTGGGGTGCCTACTATAAATAACGTATGTTCTGCAGTAACATATAATATTGAACATGGTATTTAAGGAGTAGATTTATAAATCCATGACATTCTGCAGTAACATATGATATTGAATACTGTATTTAAGGAGGTAGATTTATAAATCCATGACATATCGGGGTAAGCGAAAATTGCCTTTATTTTGATTTTTTTAATGTGTTAAAATTAGTTCACATTATTTGAGCATGTGTCATAAAAGGGAAGATAGCGCCAGATACATACTGTGTAGATTGCTTCAGTGTTGGGGAAAAATTTGCCTTAAGGTAGATAAAATCTATGTCTATATTTATACAGGTATAAGTACTTACTGGTTTTTGGTTTGGTATTGCATATTTTAATTAACTAAAGTGTAATTTTGATCTTTGAAGTTGTACACTTCATATGTGGCTATGTATCACTGAAAAATGGAAATACCAGACCAAATTGTACATTTTTGTCATTTTTTATATTAAAAACTGGTTCTTATATAAATTGCATATTAGTATTGTTATTATCTCTTATTCAGATTTAAAAAACAGAACATGTTATTGACTTGACCTAAGAGTAGTCCATTAAAGTGAAAAACAATGAAAGAAGGTTTGCTTTCTTTCGTTTGTGGTAAGAGTTTAAAAGGTTAACAAAATCTCTTTTTAATAGCACATTTAAAAAAATAAATTTATTTTATTTTGTTTTATTTTTGACTGCGTTGGGTCCTGCGTTGGGTCCTCGCTGAGCACGGGCTTTCTCTAGTTTCAGCGAGCGGGGGCCACCCCTCGCCACAGTGCACTGGCCTCTCATTGCGGTGGCCTCTCTTGTGGAGCACGGGCTCAGTAGTTGTGGCTCGCTGGCTCTAGAGCACAGGCCCAGCATTTGTGGCGCACGGGCCTAATCACTCCGCGGCATGTGGGATCCTCCCGGACCTGGGCTGGAACTCGTGTCCCTTGCATTGGCAGG